CCTCCCACAAAAATTAAAAATTTATAAAGATGATTGTTAGTACTTTTTCTCAATCAGTAACCCATTTTTTTCTATTTACTTTGATCTAATTTTATGTTTCATTTAAGTGCTTTTCATTTGAGGTTTCTAACAGTAAAGTCAAGGTATTAAGGTATATTTCTCTAACCTCATGGTATAGATTTTGTTTCTATTATTGGAAGATCATACAGCACTGAATTTGATGCAACATGAACCTCATTTGGAGTGTGTACTAAGGGAAGGAGAGATAGAAGTGCAGTACGGAGCATAGATCATCCATTTCAATGCTCCTTGGAATGGACCCGGAGGTTGGTATCAGGGGGACTCAAGTGTTTATTTCCCTGTGTTGTTTTCCCGTGGATGGGTATTCTTTTGGAAATCAGTATTCTGACATAAATATAAAAATATATAATCCACATCTTTTTATCCTTTGTATCAAATTTCCGAGGAAAAATATTTACCTATCTTCATCAAATAATTTGCATTAGATTTATACTAAAAAGGATTACATTCCCCACAACAAAACTGGCAAACCTCTGTAGATTCAAACATAAAAAACTGTTCCCACTAGATTTTCTCCACTGCCTTGGGTATGCTTAATTTTAATTAAAACTAATCAATAAAAACAAGCTGGGTTACTTAGAGAAAGTGAAGTACAGGATTACAATAGTCTAGATAATTAAGGATAAAAACACTTTTGCAACAATGTTTAGGCTGTTAAAAAAAAAACCCAAAAGATTATTGTTCCAATTTCCTACTTACCTTGAATTTGTAAATAAAGCTTGAATCTTCCCACTGACTTGGTATATATCTTGCATGTACCTAGTTATTTACATGTGATTTTCCCTCTTTAGAATGTATATTCCTAAGGCAGAGATTGCTTTAGCCTTTCTAGAATCCCTAGCATTTCATACAGTGCCTTGGGACACAGTAAATGCATACAGTAAAATACTTGTTGACAGACTGAATGCCTGTTTTGCAAGTCTTGGGAATTAAAGTACTAGGATGGCAACCACAATCTTAAATGGGGAGCAGTTTATTGGACAAGACATGACTTGGGAAAGATCTTACCTTTATAAAATACAACTGGGAATCCCTTTATTTACTTCTTAATTTCCAAGTGGCTGAATTATCAAGTCAAAAAGAATACAGAATGCTAAATTTCTTTTTTTTTTTTCACCATACCTAAAGGTTAAGGCCATGCAAAAACTCATTTTCAGGATATACTGCATTTACAGTCAGAGGTTGGCATCATACTGTTATTTTTTATAGACAACATTTCCATTAACAATGTATTAACAATTGTTTTTGCAATTTAAGTATTTTCACTGTTTTTTTTGTTACAGTAACTGTTGTCTCTGACCCTATATTACTTAATTTATATTTCAGTAATGTAAATTAATAGTCACTGAGGAAAAAAAAGGATCTGAATTGAGGCATCTCTTGCTTGGTGCAACCATATTGCACTTGTTTTTAAATTAACTATTTAGTTACTTGAGGGAATGTAACTTAAATTTATTATCTTGTTAATCTTTACAAATTCTCTTTTAAAATGACTAGATATATTCACTTTTCCTAACTGGGACTAAGGGAGAAAATGGTGAGCTCAAGGTCACACAGCAAGTTGCTAGCAGGGAGATTTTTAATTCATGTATGTCTTTCTATCCAATGTTTCTTTTCCTCTTCCACTACCTTAGTATAAATTAAATTTTATACTAACATACTTTACCCAATTTTTGGACAGCCAAATTAGTGGAAGTTTTTTCTCCCTAACATTAAACCAAAAGTTTCATTCCTGTAACTTCTAATAAGAAGTTCTATTCTACATCTACTCTCTGGGGCCAAGGAAAACATATGTAATCACTTTCCACATGGCAGCTCTTAAATAACTGAAGACAGTGATCTCGTTCCCCCTAATATCTTCTCTTTTCCAGGCTAAACATTCTCATGATCTTCAACTGTTCCCTGTAGGGAATGGTTTCAAATCCGTTCACCCATCCACCTGCTTATAAAAGTCATTCAGATTATAAAAGTCACTCTGAGAACTGGACACTGTACTCCAGATTTGGTCTAATAAAAGCAATATACAGAGTGATAATTACCTTTTATTCTTAACACTACATTTCTGGAAATGCATTAGATGGCAAATGTAATTTGAGTTAATCACAAAAACCCCACATCTTTTTCACATGAACTCTCCTGTCTCATCTCTCCTCCTCATTCTGAGTCAACTGACTTTCTGGACCAAAATGGAGGATTTTTAAAAAAATATTAAATTTTATTTAATAGATTGGATGTCTCACAAAAATCTGTCAAGACTTTTTGGAATCTCAATTCTGCCACCCAATTTCCCAGTTTCATGTTATCAACAAAAGCATGTTATCTTTACCTTTATCCAAGTCACTGATAAAAATAACAAATTCAACAGGTACAGGACAGATCCCTGGAGCACTCCATTAGAGACATCCATTAAATTAACATTTATTAAGCACCTACAATTTAAAAAATGTGCTAGGTGCTGAGAAAACAAAGGCAAAAATAAATTCTACATAAATTCTTACATTCCATATAAATTTATTTTTCCCTCAAGGAGCTTACATTTCCTAGGGATTTAAACATGTATGAGTCAAGATAAATTGAAGAGAGGTGGGGGGAAGGATCAGGAAAGGCTGTAGTAGAAACTGGCACCTGATCTGAGCCTGGAAGGCAGCTAGGGATTCTAAAAGACAGAGATAAGGAGAATACATTCCAGGCATTTAAAGCCCTTGGCAACCTGGCTGCTTCCAATCTTCCTAGTGTTCTTACACTTTATCCCCCTCTATGCACTGTATGATCAAACTGTACTGGTTAACTTGTTTGTACATAGTTGTTTGCATGTTATTTTCCCCATTAGATTGTGAGTTCCCTAAGAGCAGAGACTGCCTATTGCCTTTCTTTGTACCCCCAGTTCTTAACAGTGCCTGAAAACCATTAGCCCTTAACAAAAGTTTATATTTACCAACTTCCTAGGAAACACTTCATTTCTATCTCTTTGTAATGGTGATCCACCATTTCTGGTATATTCTCTCTCTTAGCTTGGCTGGCTTCCTTTCAAGATTCAACTCAAATTTCACCTTTGACAGGTGGCATTTCCCAATCACTCCTGCTGACAATGCCTTCTCTCTAAGACCTTTCATATAATCTTTACGTCTGAGATATGCAGTTATTTATATGCTATCTCACCTATTAGAATGTGAACTCCTTGAAGTCAGATACAGTCTTTTTGATTTTCTTTGTATCATAGCCACTGAGCAAGTACTCTAAAAATGCTTCACTGACTTGACTCCTACTTTAGAAGGACATTTTGGCAATTATGTAAAGAAGATTGTCAGGGGTTAAGAAGACACTGAAAACATTAATAATCATTACTTGGATCTGGTCAAACAACCAAGTCTGAATCTATTTAAATGTATTATACATATCTGTTCAACCAGGAAGTCATGAGAGACTATCACAAATACCTTGATGAAATTCAGTTATACCATGTTTTATGAAATTGCTTTGATCTGGTAGTTTAAAATAAACTTTTTTTTCAGAAATCTTTTAACATGCTGAGGGAAGCCACAATCGAGTTGCCTACTATGTTAACAGAGTATTTAAAATATTTGTCTTGAGAAGAATCAAGTAGAGACAGCACAAAATGTAAAATTAGACAGTTATTAACCTATTGGGGGATTAGATATTATATAGTTTGCCTCATTCCACCTTTACCAAATGTAACATTAGAATATAAAACTAATCCACTGGGTCAGGATAAAAGAGAAAAATTAAAAAGCAATGAAATTGGTGTGGTTCAAGATCACTGACAGGAGGTGGGCAATTATGAGTTTCAATTTCAATTAATGCCTTGACAGAAAGTCAACGTGCATTTATTAAATGCCTATTAGATGCTTTTGAGTTGTTACGCTCATTGATGAGCGTTATTAGGTAGAAGGGATACAAAGAAAGGCACCCCCCCCATCACCAACAAAACGCCTTTCAATGGTAAACAAAAGCAAACAAAAAAACTAAGCTTGGCACGCAGCATGAAGCTAGCTGGGAAAGCGATGGAGCTAGAGGAGGAGAGTTACTGTTTTACACGGGGACAAAAGCTGTAGCCGAGGCCTGAAGTTGCAATACAAGCAAACAAACTAAACATCGGTTACATCTAGTCCCGTAAGTTACGGTGGCTTTGCCGTAACTGCTCGGCGCTCGAGGGCAGCCCGAGCTGGGCCAGGGTCCCCGGCCTGGGCTTCAGGGCCCACCCCCAGCAGAAAACAAGCCGTCGCCCCCCGGCCTCCACTCCGCCCCGGCCCCGCCCGCTCCCCAAATCAGGCCCCGCGAAACGAGCGCAACCCCAAACCGGGTCTTCCAAACAGGCTGCTGCCCAAGTCGGCTTCCAGGCGACCGACGCGAGGCGGCGAGCCCGGGCCCAGACAGCCTGCGCCGCGACTTCTCGGAGAGCGACCGGGCGCGAGGCCGGGGCGCGGCCCCTCGGCTGACGCCGGCCGCTCTGACGTGGCCGCACAGCTTCCGCGGCCGGCTCACCGGCGCCGCGCCGCCCAACGCCGCACGAGCTTCCGCCTTCGACTCCCCGCCGAGGCCGAGGCCAAGACAGCGGAGGCCGCGGGGGCAGAAAAGGCCGCGGCTCGCGGCGGCCCCGAGCGCGACGCCCGGAGCGCCGCCGCCGACCCCGCCCCCTCCCCACGGCGCGCGAGCCCCGGGGCCCGACGTGCGCGAGCCCGCTCCGCTCCCGGAGAGGGAGGAGGCGGCGGGGAGCCGACGTCGCGCGGGAGGTGCCGCGGGGACCGAGGCGGAGCCGGGGGAGGAGCGGGAGGAGGTGGTTTAGCTTGGCGTCATGGCGGCGGCCGGGAGGCGATAAGGGGCGGGAGCGGGAGCGCGCGCGCTCGCGGACAGCTCGTTACTTCTCTCTCCTCTCTTCTCTCTGTTTGTGTTTCAATAATGAATTGATTGTTGTAGCCACAACTAAGAATCGCCAGATCGTGCCACAGGCCCGGGTTTCCCCTCCCCTCTTCGCCCTCCTCCCCTTTTTCCCTCCCTTTCCGTACACACGCGCACACACACGCACACTCACACACATACACACATACACACACACACACGCGCGCGCGCGCGCACATACACAGACACTACCCGGACGACCGGGACCAGAGTCTCTCCACAGCGGCCGCAGCGCGGCCCGGGCTCCGGGAGGAGACCAGCAGAGTCCCACCGCCGGCCGGGGACACCCTTTCCACAGGTAAGGGAGCGGACACGGCCGTGGCGGGGCCTGGGGGCAGGCGGAGGCCGCCGCTGCGGGGGGAGGGAGGCCCTGCCCGGCCGGAGGCGGCTTCTCCGTGATGGCCGAGTGCAGCGGCCCAGCGGCCCTTGGGCGGGCGGGATGGGGGAGGGAAAGCAGGCAGGGCGGCCAGCAGAGGCCCGCGGCTGTGCGGCCCAGCAGAGGGGATCGGGCCGGAGCCGGAGAGGGGGGTTACCGGGAGGCGGCGCGTGGGATAGGGAAGTGTGTGTATGTGTGTGTGTGCGCGTCTGTGTGCGGGGAGGGCGTGCGGGGAATGTTTCCCCTTCTCTTGCGGAGTCGCCATCGCTTAGGCCTCCCCGGTGCGGTGCCTCTGAAAGAGTGAGGGAGAAAGTGGAGAGAGGAGCCAGCACTTTCTGGCTGCCAGCACCGCAGCATCCAGCACGTGGGGAGCTGGGGGGGGGACGACGGCGGGCGGGGCCCCGAGTGCGGGAGGGGGCGCTCAGGGACGCGGCTGGAAGTGGTGCAGGAAAAGGGGGCACCTCGGGGAAGTTTGAGGCGGGAAAGGAGCGGATCTCGGGGGGGTGCAGGGCAGCAGCGCTGGAGGGAGGAGGAGGCTGCTGGACGACAGGGTGAGGAAGGGCCAGGGGGCGAGGGGGGCACGACCCCTTTTTGTAAATTTCGAGGGTGGAGCTGTTATGGAAGAGCCTAAGGGAGAAGAATGTCGGATGAAGCCAGTGAAAGGCCGGGGATGGTGATGTGCGCTGGGAGCTTCTGTAGGGGGAGGTCCTTGACAGAAGGACTCTGTCTTGAGAAGAGGACTTCTGAGAAAAGGGAGAGGATGTGAGAGAGAATGAGGCTGAAGGGTCTGGCAGAGTAGAGGACTATGATGAGCGGCAGGAGGAATGAACAAGAAAAGTTAGAGAGGTAAGTGGAGTTTGTAAAGTAAGAGTTACGAAGAGGATTTAAATCAAGGAGTAAACTCTGGCATGTGGGATTTAGGGTAGAAGGAGAATTAATACAGGATGTCTCGAAAGTTTTAGTGCAGTTTTCAGCTTTTAAACTTAACTAAGACTTTTGGGACACTCTTTATTTCACATGAGGAAAAATGTTGATGGTAGGAATGACCCTTAGGGAACAGTCCTTGCATAGAAGGACCCAGGACCTTACGGAGTTAGTCCCTGTCTCTTCCTGGGATTCTCAGTTTTCATTGAGCTAATATTTTTCTTTCTGTTTTGGTGAAAAGAAACAATCTTTGACATGAATTTTCTCTATGCTGAGCTACACACAGCATTTCTACTCTCAGCAGGCTGTCTTGTTACTTTTTGACTGAGGAAGGATCTGCTGTCTCCGCCCCGGCTTCTTCCTTTCGCTTCCCTGCCAGAGATCTCCTTTGTTTATTCATTGATGGCTTGTAGGTGACTCTTCTGTTTTGTGCTGGGATCTTGTCTAAAAAGAGGTGGAGCTATTGTGGTGTCTTAACCTCCATACTGGAAATCTAAAATTAGTGTCTTGGAATCAGTATCCTTTTAAATTTGGACAAAATAAGAATTTAAAGTATATTCCCTCGGATTCATTTTTTTTCCCTTTTTCAGTATACACACTGCAGTTCTACTTTTCTCACCGTTTTGTTTTTTGTAGTATATGGAATGGTTGCCTTTATTTTTATGTTTTTTGGTCTGGATCTGAGATTTCATAAACTGAACTTAAGAGTTTGGAAGTACAGTACTCTCCACTCACTGAAAGTTGGTTATTCTGAAAAAGTTGCTTAGGGAAGAGGTTAAGGGACTTGCCCCTTCAGATCATCAAGTCTTGAATCCATATCTTTAGGCTCCAAGGCCAGCCCCTTGTCTACCGTACAGCTAGGCTTTTGGACTTCGTTTTAGTCATGAAATGTTTTATTATGTAAAGCGTTTTTTGCTTTATTAATCTTTACAGTTGGACTAATTTTTGTGAATTGGTTTTAGATTGCTACTAAAAATTTATCAATCCACAAATTTTTTCAGCATTTCAGACACAGATATTACATAGCAATACTATATTTTGTCAATGAGTATCAGTTTATTAATGAACTATTGCGCAATACCAGACATGCCAGTCATATTTGAAACACTTTTTCTATCTTTTTAAAACAATCTGGTTATCATATATCTAGGCACATCCAAAATAGTTTTTAAGTGCCTAATTTGTGTGATTTCTATAAAAATTTTAAGTCTAATTTTTAAAAAATTATGATTCTTTAGGTAATTTGAAAAGAGTCCAAAATAACTTGTGACCATTTGGAAGGAAGCAAGGAACAGTCTGAAGTAAGCAATCCAGCTTGTAAACTGGGAAGATTTATATTTTATTTTAAACTTCTGAATATTTACAATGAATGGACACAGTGATGAAGAAAGTGTTAGAAACAGTAGTGGAGAATCCAGGTAAGAACTTTTTTAAAATACTGTATTTGCTCTGAGAATACTGTAGAAAATACTGTATTTGCCAAACTTCTTTGCAAAGGACAATATCAACAATTTAATTCCTTATAGGAGCTGCTTTTGAACTTTTGGTTTCTTTGGGCTATTTAAGTAATTCTGTCACTTCCCTGTATTTGAGTAGCTACAGAAGCATTATACGAATTTTGAGTTTTGTCCTATTCTTTACACGGAGGAAAAACTTGGATCAAAGAATAAAATTCTCTAAATTCTCTAACATTTGTTTTGATGACTCAGAATTTGTCAGTGTAGTGAAGAGAAAGTTTTGTGATAGTTTCGACTGAGTTGCTGCCTTCTTTGGTGATTGCATCCATTCCTATGATTTCATTAATCACCTCAACGTAGATAACTTCCAAATCTGTGTTCATCCCTAGTTCTTTTGTAGAACTTCAGTTCCACAATTCCAGGTGCCTGCTGGACATTTCCGCTGGCACCTTAAATTCAGCATCTCTATAACTAATTCACTAATCCTTCATTTTCCTCTTGCCCCATCTCCCCACCTACAAACCTGTCTTCCTCATAACTTTTCTATAGATAACTCCAGTATCTTTACTGTAGCTCAGGCTTGAAACTTCAGACCCATCTTTCATCATTTCTTAATTCCTACTTAATCCAGCCATTTACCAAATTCTGCCAGTCGTAACACTAAAATATCCTTTATCATCTGAAACCACCTTGTTTCTAGTTCTCATTTCTTTTGAGAAATTTCTTTTGCATAGATTAATAGTTTTCCTAACTTTTTTTGCCTACAGTTTGTCTCTTTAATCCATCCTTCATTTTTGGCCCTTCCTAATTCGTTTTTGGATCATTTTAGTCAGCATTTATGGTGTCTATTTCTTTAAAAGCTCTCAGTGGACTCTAATTGTCTACCAAATAAAATTTAAATTTCATATTTTGATACTTGAGTGGAAGCTTGAAGTCTTGTAGAGGGGGCCAGCCTTTGTCTGGAAGGCCTAGTTTCCTAGTTACCCTGGGCAAGTCATTTAACCTCTGAGTGCCCCAGGCCGTGCTCTTAAGACTTTCAGTTTCTGAACAGTTGATCTGCAGTTTTCTGTTCTGAAGTTCTCCATTCATATGAAATCAATAACCTAAACCAAAAACAAAACAAACTAAAACATAAAAAAAACACGACATTTCTGTCCTTCCACTGTGTAACTCCTACTGTCTTTTAAAATTTACAATTGACTATGTGAAATCACAAGCCTAGACCCCCCCCCCCCAAAAAAAAATATATATATAGACACAAAGGCTTCTCCACAGTCTGTCTCCTACTACATTTTCAACCTTGTCTTACCTCATATACACTGTTTTACACATATTCTTTATCTTTACATTAGTCCTTCATTTGAGCCAAACTGGATCACTCATTATTTCCATTTCTCATCCTGCTTACTCTCATCTCAGTGCCTTTTTACTTTCTGTCCAGCTGTCTTTCATATGTGACTTGTATTCTATATAGCATCTCTATTAAAATCTTTAAATTGTCCTTTTAAGCCCAGCTGAAATGCAACTTTCTTAATAGTCTCGCCTATCTTTGCTGTTGAAAGTGAACTTTTTATCAAAATTCATGACTTTTTCCCCCCTAAATGTCTTGTGTCATTATTTCTATATATATCTTAATAAATCTTAACTGTCTTAATTCATTCTTATATTCTCATAATTTCATCCTTGTATTCTTATTTCATCTTGTATTCATCCTTGTATTAGCACAAAGTTTTTCCATTTTGTTTTTATATATAAATGTTGAATTGAACGTAGAGAGTAAATCTGCCCTCGTTTTGTGAAACCATTGATAAAAGTGATTAGTGTAGGACTTTTTTGACTCTGATAATATTTTTATTAAAAATAATGTAACCAGTAAAAGAAAAGAGAATGCAATATCTATGTTTTCATCTGATATTTTGTGATTCAAACTTTTATTGCTGAAGTGTTGTGGCTTTCCCATTTTCTAGAAGCCTGAGGTTTTCATTTGAGGAATGAGTTAGTGCACTGCTTATGAATTTTTTTCATGTGTGTATCTAAGCTGAAGATGATAAATTGGTACATATCTTTGCAAATAAAATGTGTAGGTTTTTATGTAGGCATGGAGGAAAACAGTTTTTCTTTTTTTAAGCAATTATCTATCATACCCTATTTATATTTAATATATGTGTGTATGTGTATATACATACATATATACGTACATTTTAAAAGTCCTTCACACATTTGGCAGCCTATGGAGTGGCTTTGTTTTGTTGTTGTTGTTGTATTTTGCCATAGTTCCAGATAAAGCTATTATTCGTATCTTGTCAGAGTGCAAGTGAAATATATTTTACCAGTTTCCTGTGACTTAGGTGAAAGGTGATAATTTTAAAATCCTCCATGTCCTTCTCTCTGCTTTTACATTTTACCTTGTGTGCTTCAAGGACCTGTAATTTCATTGCTGTGGGTACTGCCTCCACTGACACGGAACTAAGATCTCTCTGTAACTCAGGAGATGGACTTGGAGAATTGCTAAGGCCCCAAAATTTATCATTATGCTGCCAAGCTGATGCCAAGTCTTCTGAACTTAAATAGGATGGTCCTCAAACAATATATCTCTACAGCCTGACACTAGGCTTCTAGTATATCATTAATGAAAATTGGGGGAAAAAAAGAAGGAACTTTAGTCAAACAATCATACCTCCTTCAGGTTCATTTATAGGTTAAAATTATATTTCAGTTGATTTTGTCATAGGAGTTTTAAAAATCAGTTGCAGCAAATGAAACTCATTTATTATTTGATATAAGATAGAAAAATAATTGATAATATCCTTACCTAATGTGTACTTGTGGTGGAAAAACAGGAAAGTTGAGAATCAGGGAAATAGTGGGCAGTCAGAAAGATGTCTTAAAAACTAGAGGGCAGGAAACAAAAATGTGATGTAAATCTATTCTGTGCCATGTAGCCAATGACAAAAACCACATTCTCCCCTCCCCCATCATTTATGTGAGAAAGCATGTTGCACTAAGGACAATAAACTAGGAGTTAGGATAACTGGATTCTAGTTCCAGTTTTGTTATATGCTAGCTTGAATAAGCCACTTGACATTTCTGAGTCTTAGTTTACTAATCTAAAAAATTTGTGGGATGAAATGATCTCTAAATTCATGTTTTTGTTTAGTATTTTTATGTTTTTACTTTGGAGTCAGATTATTGCTACTTAAAAATGGAAGTTAAATAGTCCTAACTAATACTTTGTAATCTAATCCAAATAGGTTGTAACATCTAATTATTTATAAATGTAAAAAATTATTTCTGAAATATTTTAAAACAAATTTGGAAACATTAACATCAAAATTCTCACAACTGTTTTTAAATTCTTGTTTGTTCAGAGATTACTACCTAGGAATATATATAATTTTTTCAAGCTTCTTTAAAACAAAAAATGGATTGCTTGTCCTTTGCATTTCTTCTTCTCCTTTACCTTTTGGAAGATTTTTTTTCTTGAACTAAATTTGTTTTTGAAAATCAAGTATTAGCCCCTGTCCATTTTAAAACAAATTTCAGAGTAATCTAAATTTTGATTTCTGAAGATTATTTTTAATAGAAATATTCTCCTCCCAATAGATGTGAATCTTAGAACACCACAAGTCTTCAAAGAATCGAAAGTGTAGTAAATACATAGAATAATGGAGAGATGCATGAATGGTGAAAGTAATCTGTAGCATATTTGCCTGGATGACATAAGCAGAAGAGATGATATAAAGTAGTGGTGTCAAACTCAGAAATAGGTACTACTAAACCTGTATTGAGAAAATAATATATTAACATTATGTTCTATTGTATTTTTATTTATTTTGTTAAATATTTAACAATTTCATTTTAATCTGGTTAAGGCCACACTGGGAGTGTTGCAGGCCCAGTATGTTTGACACCTCTGTTGTAAAGGAAATGTATGATTGGAAAAGGAGGGTGGGCCAGTCATGTGTAAAGAGCAAGGGATAACAGATGGACAGCCAGAGTGCTCCACTGGTACACACAAATTGTAGAACAATCCAGAGAAAACCCTCTGACATATTAGGTTTATCTTCTGTAGAATATCTGTGGAAGGATAACACGGAATGAGAAGACATACTATATTGATGGTAGTGTAGACCCACATTCATGTGATCACCAATCCATTGAGTAGTGATTTCTTAGTTTAAGATTGCCATTCTATTCAATAAACATTTATTGAACACCTCAAGTCCTATGCTAATTTGGGAGGATATAAAAACAAAAAATGAAATAGTCTGTTCCTTTAAGGAACCTTTATATAGCTTAGAAGATACAAGATAATTTGAATAGGGGTGGAACATTAACAACTGATATTCAAAAAAAGTCTTCATGGAGTAAATAGCATCTGAACTGAGCATTGAAGCAAAATAAAGATCCTCAGAGGTAGAGATGAGGGACAAAATAGAGTGCCTTTCAGATATGGAGGGCAACTTGTACAACTGCAAAGTTAGGAATGTGGAATGTCAAGTATGGAAACAGGTAGTAGTACAGTTCAGGTGTCTGGTAGCATGTCTGAAAGAGAATAATAGGAAATAAGTCTGGAAAGATAGGTGGCTGTGAAGTATCTTTGCTTGAACACTTGTGATCTTGTCTTTAACTATCACAACTACTGTCCTGCTTGTATCCAATACAGTTTTTGATTATTTCTGTATTAATGAATATCTGACATAATAGATAAATTAAATTCACACGCTTTCTAAAAATTTTATTTCAGCCAGTAATTTTACTCTCCCGTTTTTTTTTTTGTTTTGTTTTGTTTTAAGAGGTAGCATGGTGTAGTCAAGTGGATGGAGGATCTGTTTTGGAGCCAGTAAGACCTCATTTCAAGTCCTTCCTTGACCCATACTGGTTGTGTGATGTTAAGAAAGTCATTTAATCTATCAGTGCCCCAGGCAGCTTTTTTTCTCCAGTAAATTTTTATTCACGTC